ACTTAGCCCTGTGAGATGGTAGACTGAATAACAGACAGCTGATAGCTAAAGGGAATATGGTTTCTTTTGAAGTGATATATTCTAAAAGTTAACTCTGATAATTTTTTAAATTTTATTTTATTGTAAAGATGCTGTATAGAGGGCTTACAGTTACATGAGTAAGGTAAATGAGCACATTTCTTGTCTAGCATCTGATAATTTTATACATACATGAATATAAATTTTAAAGCCACTGCACTGTATACTTTAAATGGGTAAAAATATGATATGTGAATCATATCTAAATAAAACTATTGAAAATGCAATGATGTGCTCACTCTCAGGCACTGCCAACTGTCCACTTCCAGACCCGAAAGCATGTATTTCCTTACATTTAGCATTCTTCACCTTTCTTCACTGTAATCCCGATATGTTTTATATCCATTCCTCCTTATGCAAAGATAACCATCTTTTCCTTTGTCATTCCTTGTATGAGAGAAAGTTTTGTGTAATAAGGATAAAAGTAGTTATTTCCTTTCCTGATACTTCCTCTTTTTTTTAATACAGAGCTCACCAGAGTGTATGAGAAGATTCTTTGTGGCTAATAAGAAAATACTTCTCTGTTCAGAGAAATAACAGAACAGACCCACAGCATTTCTTCAAGATGTAAAGTCTTAAAATAAGAAGGCAATAGAGAAGAGTTTCTGAGCTCTACTTGGTGACAATACTTTTAAGAACTGGCACTATTTTAGAGAGGATGGCTATGTGGTAACCCCAGACAGAAGCTTTGTTTCTCTCCATGTACAAGCCATAAACAATCACCAAGTCCTAGACAATGCAGATGTTAGCAGAAATCTTGAACTACAGCTATAGACTCTGTTCTCTCCAGTACCACACAAAGTTGGAGGAAGATATTGATTAAAATTTTTTTTCTCTCTTTTTTTTTTTGCATTGGTGGGGATTGTGTCAAGGGTTTTACATGTGCTAAGCAAGTGTTCTACCATTGACCTACAACACACCTAGTCCCCAAATTTAATTTCTTGCTACCCTAACAGAATGAGGTTGTGTGTGTGTGTGTGTGTGTGTGTGTGTGTGTGTGTGTGTGTGTGTGTGTGTGTGTGTGTGTGTCCGTTGTGGGCTTGGACTCATGGCCTGGGCACTGTCATTGAGCTTTTTTGCTTTACCACTTTGAGCCACAGAGCTACTTCCAATTTTCTGGTGGTTAATTGGAGATAAGAGTCTCACAAATTTTCCTACCTGGGATGGCTTCTACCTGCAGTCCTCAAATCTCAGACTCCTGAGTGGCTGGTATTATAGGTATGAGCCACTGGCAACTAGCACTTCGAATGTTTTAATTACATATTTAAAAAAAAAACTAAAGAAACAGATCCACTCCCTACCTTTATGAGGTGGGGTTTAGTGTAAGGAAGTTAGGTGACATAGATGTACCCCTGCAAGGAATATTGAGATCCTGGCCCCTTCCTGTCTTTTGTTTTTTAGCTACCATAAAATGAGTAGGTTTGTTCTACCATGTGCTTCCAGACACGATGTACTGCTTTGTCACAGGCCCAAAGGCAATGAAGCAACTGACCATGAACTAAAACTCCTGAAACCTTTCTTCTAATCTCAGGTATTTTGTCATAGAAATGACAAAAAAGTTAACATAACACACTGCATCATAATTACATAATATATATTACATGCATATTAATTTTAATTACATTAAATATTTTTGTACAACATAATATTTGGGTTGAAGGCAGATTGCATATACAACAGTGGTCCCATAAGATTTTATCACGGCGGGTGGGGGGGGGGAGGCGGGGGAGGCTGGGAAGGGATGAGAAGTGTAAACAAAGGAGGAGGCTGCAATGCTTGATAAGAAATGTACTCATTATATTGCCCATGTAATTGTAACCCCTCTGTACAGTATGTTCACAAAAAATTAAAATTAAAATATAAAAAAAAGATTTTGGGCTGGGAAGGTGGCTCAGTGGTAGAGCGCTTGCCTTGCATGCTTGAGGCCCTGGGTTCGATTCCTCAGCACCACATAAGCAAAAAGAAAAACAAGCCGGAAGTGATGCTGTGGCTCAAGTGAAGAGCTGAGAGAGCTGAGGGACAGCGCCCCAGCCCAGAGTTCAGGCCCCACGACCGGACCCCCCCCCCCAAAAAAAAGATTTTATCACAGTGTTGTGGTAGCCACTCTTCAATATTCACAAAATGACAACATTGCTTAACAATACATGTCTCAGAATACATTTCTATTCTGAGCAGCAAATAAAAATACTGGAGTCTGTGGCAAGTTCTAATAGAGATGAAAGCTTCTGAGGTTTTCCTGACTAGGGAAATTACTACATTCCCCCAAATGGACACAAATAAGACACAATCCTTAGGTTTAATGAATTCTGGGTCTCCTTGGTTACTTTTCAATGCTTAAACAGTAAAATTAATCTGCTCTGCAAGATATCTGGTAACAGTTATCTGTCATGATCTTGCTCATAAAAGGAAGGGATGTGGGCTGGGAAGATGGCTCAGTGGTAGAGTGCTTGCCTTGCATGCATGAGGCCCTGGGTTCAATTCCTCAGCACCACATAAGCAGAAAAAGCTGGAAGTGGGGCCGAGGCTCAAGTAGTAGAGCGCTAGCCTTGAGCTGAAGGGACAGAGCGCAGGCCCAGAGTTCAGGCCCCATGACTGACCAAAAAAAAGGAAGGGATGGGTAGCTAAGGTTTGCATTCTCCCTGTCTTCTGTCCTTGCCTTATCCATTGCCCATCCATTGGAAGTGGGTAATCTGTCAAGATTAAATGAGAACTATCTTATGAAAGCCACTACTAATAAAATTCAAATTATTAGTGGATTTTGTTTGAATGTATGTTCTTACCCAGTAGAGCTGATTTTAGGGGTCTGAAATTTTTTATTTCTTAATAGGTTTTCACAGATACCAACACATTGGTCTTGCTAACGCACTCTGAGTCGCAGGATTATAGTCAATTTGGTTACAACCAGTAGGTTCAGGGCCCTATATCAATGTATTGATTCAGAATCTCTGGTGAAATACAGTATAGTAAAAAAAAAAAGTTTTTGGGGAAGTTTGAAAACTTGTCTATGGGGTTTAAAATGTTGTCTATATTTTCCTCTTCTTGATACTTTTTTGACCACCTTAGACTTAAATTCATTAACATTGTTTGCAGCAAGCATTCACTATTTGTCATGGGTTGTATTTTTATGTACTGTTTCTCCTTAACAGACTTCATTTCTTGAACATGCAATTATATTGTATGCTCTTGTAGCTTACACATAATATTTAGCATCCAGTAAATAACTAATATTTGTCATGGATAATAACCATGATGATAATAGAAGACAATTTCTCTTCTGGACACATAGCTGTTTGGTAGGCTTTCTGGGAACCTGCTGACTCCATAAAAGAAACATTAAATTTCTCAGCAAAAACTGAAACACCCAATTACACATGACACATTTTTATTTTTAGGAATCAGCACTACAATCCTTTTGAACCTTAGTAGCTTGGATTTTATTGTAGTAAGTTACACTTTGTTTTTTATTGGCTTATGTTAGCTGTATTGGGGAGGGATTTCACTGTTACATCTTCACACATGATTATATTGTATTACAATCAATGTAAATGATGCTTTAAAGAAAAGAAATGCTTTGACTTTATTATAGCTTTTGTCTGTGAACTTCATAACACTCAGACCATTTAAGTTATTCTACAGCCATGCTATCAATATTATTATGCTCTTACACACACACACAAAAAGCTGACTTAGGAGAGTTGTAAGATACTTGGCCAAAATTCTTGCCAAGATGGCCACAGTAAGAAAACTCAGAGGAGTAGCTGGATGGTAGACAGGTAGGCAACTAAGTTATTTCCCTGACTTCAAGTTGTGTGACTTGACATTCCATAGAAGAGAAAGGCTATGGTGAAGGGAAAATGAAGAGTATTTCTATGGAGAAGGAGGAGGAAGAGAAAGAATCTGGCTGTCTAAAATGAAAATAATCCTCGTTTTCCTCCCCCTCTCTTCTTCCTCCTCCCCCTCCTCTTCCTCTTTTTCCTCTTTTTCTTCCTCTTCCTCTTTTTCTTCCTCTTCTCCTTCGTCTTCTTCTACACTGTTTTATCTTAGGACGCTTGCATATTTTTCCATTAAACACTTTCCATTTTCAGCATCCTTATCTATTTTCCAGCAGTCTTGCTCCCCCTACTTTCTACTCCCCTGGCAACAGAGCAAAAGGAACTGCCAGCTGATTCCTGAAGGTGGACTAAAACACTAGGTCCGGGATTCATGAACTCGGCCTGCCTCCCAGAAAATTCGGTGCACATCTCGGTGGTCTCTTTGTATGCAAAATAGGAATGGAACACGCCCACCTACCTGACTGCAAGACTCGTTTACCACAGAGCCCTGGAAGGAATACCAGTTGTTTCCTCACTGTGTCAGACCTCGTCTATCTTAACCAACACCACAGAACGTAGCAGAACTGACACCAGGCGAGGAGGCAGGGAGCCGCCTCGGGGTAGAATTTCCCATCTGTGGCTAGGAAGCGCGAGGGGCTGCTGGGAGTAGTCCAGGCGGTCTCCGCTGGCCTTGCGGAACGGAAAGAACTACAACTCCCATGAGACAACGCGGCCCTCTCCCAGCCCGACACCAAACGCGAGGAGGTGGGGGCAGAGGATGCGCCCGCGGAGGACCCTCAAAGCGCGCCCGAGGCGCGCCACTTCGGGGTGGCCGTCATAGCAGCAGACCAAGGAAAAAGACCTATGAGAGTGTGAGGGACAGTAACAAAGGAAAGATGTCCGATGAAAGGCAAGTTAGGAAATAAAAAGAGCCTTGTACCATTCCCTCAGCACCCCGCCGGCTCGTAAGCTCGCGCAGCTGCAGAGCCGCGGGCGCGCGCCTGGTGCCGCGGGGACCGGAGCCGGCTGGGCGGGAAGGGGCGGGGCCGGAGCGCCGGGGGCGGGGTCTGAGCGGCGAGGGCGGCGGCGGCGGCGGCCGCGACCCAGACATCTGGGACTGTTGTTATTCTCCAGCCACACGCCCGCCCCAGGCAGTTGGCCGGGAGACCCGGACCTGGTCGGTTGGGGTGCGGCCGGCCTCATCAGCTTCTGGCTCCCGGTTCCCTGAAGTTGTCGCGGGAGCTGGCACTGCTACGCAGCCGCTGGACTCTGATGCCCTTCAGTGAGGAGGGGGCGCCCGGACCTAGGTGAACGCACCCAGGCCCCCCCTCCTCTCCCCGAACTCGATATCTTCGCCGGCCTCTCAGGTTCACGAACCCCCACTCTGACTGCCATGGCTGAAAACGCAGAGGGAGACCTGAACTCCAACCTGCTCCACGCCCCTTACCGCACCGGGGACCCTCAGCTGGACACGGCCGTCGGGCAGTGGCTCCGCTGGGACAAGGTGGGTACCTGGCCAACCCGCCACTGGCCCGGGCTTCCCGCACGCAGCCCACCCTTTCCGGTGCCCACCCGGGGCTGTGCAGGCTCCCGGGGGGAGACGGCTGGGATGGGGGGGGTGGCCTGCGGAGCCGGGCGTTGCCACCCACCTGAGCCTGGGCTGGGCAGGGCAGGGTCTAATGTAGTCGTTTCCTTTTGTATTTCGCCGAATTGCAACTCGTGTTCTTCCCCCTTCGTCTTATTCCCTTCTGGTGCGTGTCGTCTCATTCTCAAAAACAATTAATCGTCATCGCAAGTTATACATATGCTTTGCAGAGATATTTCCTTTCCCCTTTCTCCCTTGACTTCCTTCTCTGCAAACCCAAGCGTGGTTTTGGCACCCTTGGGACGTTTCTAACCGCTATGTGCTTTGGTGCTATTGCTGGTGTTTCCACCTTCGGTCGCTAGGTAGTCACCAGGCTTTATTTTCTAGTATTACCTTTTGCTCTTGAGAAAGGCAACGGTTTCCTTAACTCTTTATTTCGTTCCCTTGCTAATAGTTATCCTCTTTCTGCATGTATCCTGTTAAATAGTGTTTTCCACCTTTTATAGGATACCCTTAATTCAGAATTGTTTTTGCCTTGCCTCTTCCTCTTCTAGCATCCCTAGCCCTAGCACAGGCATATGGATGGATCTATGAACGCCAAAATTAACATGCAGCTTCTTCACTTGTAATAGAGACCCTTCCAGGCACCAACAGAAAACAAGACAGTAATCCAAGCTTGGGCTTTGTCGAGTGCATGAAATACATTTAAGTTCAAAAGGCAACACGTTTTAAAGGTGAATAGAGAATTGAAGGGTTAGTATTACAATCAGGTGAAATCGTGTGGTGCCAAAGAAGCTCCTAAATGATTAGATTTCTCAAGCAGTTCCATTTTTATTTTGTTCAGTCATCCATGCATGTAAAAGCTGAGTACTGGATAATGCTCTAGGCCCCTAGTTGGGATCAGGAAATACTAGTGTTGAGGAAGATAGAGGGTTCCTGTCCTTCACAAGCCTTCACATAAGCAGATAAGGAAAAACAAATAAGCAGTTACAATGAAGTATTTGGTGTGACTGAGTCATATGCATCTTGAATATTCTCAATTATGATTCTAGAGTTTAAATGAGCACTTCTCAAGCGTTAAAGTGCTTACAAGTTATCTGGGGATACTAAAATGCAAATTCTCTTGCAGGGGCCTGGGTGGAGCCTGGGAGTTTGTCTAAGAGTGAGCTTTCAGGTGATGCCAATATTGCTGGGTGTGGACCACACTCAGAGTAGTGTGGTTCTTTTTGTTCTCTTTTGGTGCCAAAAGCCAGTTTTGACTATATTTTTTCTAAGGAATGTCCTAATTTATTTTATTTTATTTTTTTGGTCCGTTGTGGATGCTGTCTCTCAGCTCTTCAGCTCAGCCACAGCGCCACTTCCGGCTTTTTCTGCTTATGTGGTGCTGAGGAATCGAACCCAGGGCCTCATGCATGCCAGGCAAGCACTCAACCACTAAGCCAACTTCCAGCCCCTTAATTTATTTTTTTAAAGGTTGGTAGAATGAATTGTCATTTAATAATTTTCCATGTTATGTGTAGGTAATAGTTGAGATACATTAAAAATATTTTGAAAAGTAAAATACACATAAAAAGATAAGTTGGAATAATTTTGTGGCAATAATAGCTTTTACAGGTAGTCAGTTGTTAGAGGAGTTAAAAAGTGAGAGTGAGCTGCAGACTGAGTTGGTTGAAGAAGACTTTATAAGAAGATGGACTATATGTAACAATCACATGGAGCACCTTCATTGAATATGGAAGAGAAATTCTTAGTATTTAAAGTGCCTTATAAGGCACTGCCTAAAATCCTGTGGGAGATTGAAAGATGAGACCTTCACAGAATATAGAAAGATAAAAGAAAGGCTCACAAATATTATATAGAGAACAAATATCCTTAACAGAGAAAAGATTTAATAATTGTAGTAATTATTTAATAAAAATGATTTTTTTCACTGATTCCTTTCTCAATAAGAGAATATTTTTAATTGGGAAACAAATGTGTAGCTAGTGTAAATTGATACTGTCCTTAAGCTAAGTCCCAAAGCCCTGAAATTTAGAGTGCAGAAATACAAAATAATAAATTAGACTACTAGCATTTATTCCATTATACACTGACAGCACAGTGTGTTTTAATAAAAAGAAACTGAATTTGACACCTGATTAATTCCTATTAAGAAATTTATGCTGATTCTGTGTGCATATGCTGGTCCTAGGTCTTGGACTCAGGGCCTGGACACTGTCTCTTAGCTTTTTTTGCTCAAAGCTAGCACTCTGTCACTTAAGCCACAGTTCTACTTCTGGCTTTCTGTTGGTTAACTGGAGATAAGAATCTCATGAATTTTTCTGCCAAGGCTGGCTTTGAACTGAGATTCTCAGACCTCAGCCTCCTGAGTAGTAAGGACTGCAGGCATAAGCAACTGGTGCCCAGCTGCTGGTAATTCTTAGTGACCTGTGAGGCATATAATAAGTTGTAACTTGATCTCATAGTAATCTGCTATTTGTTGTAGTCAGCAAAATTACTAACTTGAACCTTGGTGGCTTGTGTACAAATCTTCATAAACAAAAGTGTTCATTGAAGCTGGGTACTTGTGGCTCAGGCCTGTAATCCTTGCTACTCAGGAGGCTGATGTCTGAGGTTTGAAGCCAGCCTAGGCAGACAAATCCAAGAGAGCTGGAGGCCCTGAGTTCAAGTCCCTATTCCAAAAAAAAAAAAAGGTGTTGAACTTTCAGAATTTATTAAAATTTAGGTTTGTTATTGTTGAGAGGAGGATAGTGGCAAGCAGAAAGATTAAAACTTGCTTAAGTAGTTAACATGTCTGACCCTGCTGTAGTTTAGGGTACATAGAGAAGAATTTTTGGGCCTGGCCCCCGTGGCTCACACCTGTAATCCTAGCTACTCAGGAGGCTGGGATCTGAGGATCAGTTCAAAGCCAGCCCAGACAGGAAAGTCCCTGAGACTCTTTATCTCCAATAAACCACTAGAAAACTGGAAGTGGCGCTGTGGCTCAAGCAGTAGAGCGCTTCCCTTGAGCTGAAGAGCGCAGGGACAGAGCCCAAGCCCAGAGTTCAAGCCCCATGACCGACCAAAAAAAAAAAAAAAAGAATTTTTGGAAAGATAAGTGAAAATCACATCATGGAAAGGCTACAGTATGTCTTTAGTGGCTTTGAACAAGTAATAACGTAGGCAAGTGTTAATGCAAGATAATGAGGTTTACTGGGCAATCAGTATTACTCCACGTAGTGTCCATGAGATGGATTTCTGTTGGTAAATTTACCAGTCCAGGATCTGAGCTCCAAATTCTAGGTTTTTAGTCTAATATGTCTCAGAATGGACTTATTTACTCAAGGTCACAAAAATCACTGCCTCATTTAAAATGCTATTTTATTAATTTATGCTTTACATATAATAGATAAGTAGATTTGATTCTGGTCAAGACATTTTAGGTATGTATAATAAAAAGAAGTGAAAGGATTAGAAGATTTTTGATTATTGTAAAATCAAATCACAGAGGGTCACAAATATATAATATAAGCATTTAATAGCATTGGCCTGTTAACTAGGTGCCGGTGGCTCACACTTGAAATCTTAGGCTGAGGATCACAATTCAAAGCAAGCCTGGGCAGGAAAGCCCAACAGACTCCTATCTCCAATTAGCTGCCAAAAAAGAAAAAAGAAAGAAAGCCTGTAACTAGCAAATGAATCCATCTCTGTGAGGGTCTGTCCTACCAGTAGAACCTAGTAAGTCTATGGATCAAGGTATCCGTCATCATCCCCCCCACCCAGATTGTACACCATTGTACCCTAGGACTAAGACTCTTACCTCCTTTGCATTGTCAAATTAAAGGCAAATTTTGCTGGCCTAGAAGCAGGTTCTCTTAAACATTGACAGTTGTGTTCTGTTTCTGATACATTCTGATTTTTAATTTTGTGTAAGCACTTGTATATCGAAGATATTAAGCAGTGGCAAAGCTTGTATGGGTCAATGGGTGGGAAGTGGGACGTATACAGGACATAGCTGCTTAGCCAGCTAAAGCAACAATGAGGAGGCAGGAATTGATCCTGGCATTTTAAGAAATAATAGTAAAGCACACTCATCTCAAAATATAGGTCTGTTTTAGGAAAGAGTAGAATATGAAGTTGAAGACAGATTAGTTTTATGAGAAGCCTAAAAATTAAAAACAAAGCCTTTAATCTAAGCCAGTGGTTTTCAAACACCTAACAATAGAAGATTTTTTTTCAAACAAAATATAGTTCTGAACAAAAAGGTGATGAATGTTTTAAATTATAATATGATGGAAAATATACCCTTGAAATACCTCCACAAAGCTGATCTAGGGCTGGGAAGGTGGCTCAGTGGTAGAGCGCTTGCCTTGCATGCGTGAGGCCCTGGGTTCGATTCCTCAGCACCACATAAGCAGAAAAGAAAGCCGGAAGTGGTGCTGTGGCTCAAGTGGTAGAGTGCTAGCTTTGAGGTGAAGAGCTGAGGGACAGCGCCCAGGCCCAGAGTTTAGGCCCATGACCGGACCCCAAAAAAAAAAGCTGATCTAGTCCATCTTATTGTAGATACCCATAGAAGTTAGGCAAGTTACCCATTTGTAGAGCATTGGATCTTGGATCTGCCACCTAATTTTGTTTCTATAATATTAATTTGTGTAACATTATTTATTGACACTTTTCTAATACTTCATTAGAATACACAGTTCATATGGCTTTATTAATTTGGGAGGAAATGTTAGTTCTTATTCCTTGAACTTTTGTGGTATTTTAGTTTCTACTGAGATTAAATCTTGTAGGTAGACTAGTAGGAAGTAGTTATTCCCATTCTTACAAGTAAAGAAACTCAGGCTTAGGCAAGGAAAAGGGCAGGTGTTTTTTTTTTCAGTAAAAGATTCAAGACTAGAACATAGATCATATGACTCTTACTCCAGTCTTATCATTAT